AATTATTATTGTTTGTATACTTAAATCTGGCATATTGGAAAACCCCATTTTTGTTTTAAAAAACGAAACACAATTCACTAAAAAGTTCGGTAATAAAAAATTGTAATTGTCATTTCGAAAAATAATCAATTAACACAATAGGAATCAATAATTGCAGATAATACAGGATCGGTTATCTCAACATCGTGTGTAAATTTTTCGTCGTTTTCTTGTGTCATTTTAAGAGTACAAAAAAGCAACTTTCAACTTGTGAAGGTGACAATTGGTATAGTTTTGTTCTGAAACAATAGAAAATGCTTTTTGTATCAATTCTATTAATACCACACCATCAATTTTATTAAAAAGTGGATTTGTGATTTTTGTATTAATATGTACACGTTTTCTTTCATGTTGAGTTTCCAAGTTTTTCGGTTCAATTTCCAAGTGTCTTGCATCATAAACATCTCCAATTGCTGCAACACAATATCTGTTAATTGTTTGATGTATTTAAAGCAAAAACGTATTTTTAGTAAAAGATTGTAAAATATAAAAATAAGAAAAAACGAATGCGGGTTTCCTAAATTCATTTGTGCCAGATTTAAGCGTTTAAACAATAATTATAATTATAATTGATAATATTATAAAATATTTGCAATTGTTTAATAACAATGAAATAATGATTTAACATATTAAAATAAAATTTGTTATTAACTATACTTTTCTTAAACTATAGTTAAATGAAATTACTCAAAATTTATGCTTTTTTGAATTAATTTTCAAACATCGAACAGTTGTTTATATTATTTCGTTAATAATCAAGAATTTCACATACCGTGGGCTACCCAAAATATAAATAACACAAATTAAAGTTGTTTAATTTATTCTTTTGTTTTAAAGAAAACAAATCACCAAACAAAATCGTAATTTGCATAATTTTATAAATGTAACGAGTCTGTATATCCATAACGCATAACAAATCTAAGCCTTGGTTAGTCAATGATTAAATATTTGCAGTATTTTTTAAATATAATTTTCATTATTATAAACTGTATTTCAAAACTCTGTACCGTTTCCAAAATTTATAAAAACCCTTTGTCATAATTTTTTTAATGTTTTTTATTTGTTTTATTTTTTATTTTCCTTTTTGTTGAAACAACAACGGTACACAGTTTAAAACCCTTAAAAATCAATACAATTTCAATTATTGAACAAAAAATCGGGAAATCACCCAAATATCGGGTAAATCTTTTACGATTTTCCAGGTTCTTTATTTGGTCAGTGGTTTATTTTGTAACTATACGTGAGTAAACAATTCATTTCTAACAAACACAACATAAACGATAATATAACAATAAACCAATGATGTGATGAAAGACACCACAACATCAAATAATGCAACACTTTAACTAATAACAAGTTATTGTTTATTTCAACAATCAAAAAAGTTATCGATAACATAAAACAAACATTTAAACAATCAAGGTTATTAATAAAAATAGTCTAAAATATAATAAACAGTTCAAAAAAACTTTTCATATGTAAGTCTTAAAAGTTTTTATAAATGCTGGTTTTATTTATTTGTACTTTTCATTTTTATCCAAAACACGACTTGGTGATTCTGTAAACACAGATATTGAATTAAAAAAGTTGTGTTTACGGTTTTTGGCAAAAATTGTGTTATGGTAATCAAAATTTTAATTCTAAGTTTGTTTTTTATATTTTCCAAGTAAATTTTTATGCAATATTTATTTGTCAAGTAAAATTAAAAAAATCAAGTTCATTATCTTGTTTTTTGAGTAAATGTTTTGAACAAAAAATGAGGGTTAAGCAAAGAAAAAAATATTTAGAAATTATTTGTCTAAAAAATCGGGGCATCCCAGTACAGAGTTTTGAAAAACAGTTTATATTAAAGTTATTTGATATTTTACTTCGTTTAATATTATTTTTATTAAAAACAGTTTGTCTGTTTTCTTTAAATTAATAAGTATCGAATGATATATTATAGTAGAATTAATTAATTATTATTGTTAATACCAATACTATAAAAATATAAAAAGTATAACTTTTGTATTTTAATGTCTTTACAATCTTATTAATTAAAAACATATGCAATACATGAACAATAACAAGCTGTTTTGAAGAGTTCGGCACTTATTACACTTTCAAAATAAAGGTGCAGCTTCTTGAACATTGTTTACGTGAATTTCATTATTGTATTTTTTGTGGAAAAGTGTTCAATAGACGAAAATACATGAAACACTTTTTGGAAGCAAAACCCGAAGAAACGAACAAATTTAAAAGTGTTCACAATTTTAAATTTTTTAATGAGAATTTCGACAAATTTGATTGCGCTCAACGTTCAGCTTGTCGAAAAAGAAAAATACGAGTTATGTGGTTTGGTTCATAATGAATTGTACCTCTCCCCAAATATTTATAGAGGTGTCAACTTATATAAAGTGAAAAGAGAACTTGAGTCACAATTACAACAAACAAGTCACACTACATTTGACCTCAAGAAATATTTATTGAAAGGATTGGAAGAAACTGTTCGTGTACTACCAACGATTGATTATCAAAATTTCCAAATAAATATTTCTGTAATACACAACGAGTCAACACAAGAAGCACTCGACAATATTTGTAACAATTTGAGTGTACCTAATTTTTACTGTGAAGATGTTGTTACACAAACTTCAAATTGAATTGTCACTCTAAGATTGAACCACAAACATTTGTTAATTCAAATAATATTGTTACTCATTTAACTGTTCAAACAGGAAAATTCAATTGATATTGAATGTAGCCAGGCTACTGACAAAGAATTTCAAAATACCAACGATTTGACCAAAGAAGAAATAAAATTAGTGTGTTTGAGATTGAACAATTGGAAAAAAAATGAAATACATCAAAAATATCCTCAAATCAGAGAATAAATACTCCACCGAGTACATCGCACAAGAAACCAACAAAGAAGTTCAAAGAAGACTTGGTAAAAATGTTGACAGTTTTTTTAACAACAAATGATGCTGGAAATGAAAGAGGCAGCTTTATAATGATGATGGGAGCGTGTGAGTTGACAAACAATCAAATTGATACCATGTCAAAATTGATATCCATAATTTTGCTCATGTCCAATGTTCCTAAAAAAGTTGTTAACACCGCTCTCAGTTCTTCAACCATGCAACGAAGATTTATGTTGATTTCCAAAAAACCAGATATGACCTACAACTAATCTTCAAGAAGTGTGACTATTATACATTAATGGCGGATTCAGCAATGTACAGTGGGGTCGAGTACTTTTCTCTCTTTGTAAGATTCGTGTTTTCAGATGGATCATTTGTTGAAAAGAGAGTCAAAATAGAAAACTATGATGGCAAAACAGATGCAGCGGGGTGGCTAAGTTGGATAATGAAAATATTGGAATTGATGGATGCTGATTTCATTAAATGCATTGGTGCTTGTTTTGATGGATTTTATGTTCTGATACGAAATGGTGGGCTCTCTGGTAAACTCCTGGCTAAAATAAAGAGAGAGAAGGGCTGAACGGATTTGATTCAAACTACTGCTTTCCACATAGAACAAATAAAGCGACTGAAAATAATTCAATTTGCAATGGGGGCTGGCTATTGAAAGTTTCTTGGACGGGTTAACTGTTCAGACAACAAGAACAACATGGGATCAATTCTGTGCCAAATATCATATCAAAGGTGCAGTTCTCAAATTGGTTCAACGATCAGAAACAAGGTGGCTCCAAACAGTATTGATACTTGATAACGTGTTTGAGAATTTGCCTTCATTACAAAAATGTTACAGTGAAAGAAAACAATACCAAAAGCCTTTTGGACCTCGCAACATTATGGGTGAATGTAATGTTAACTGCAAATTGTTTGTTGCGTGTATGTTCTTCACACAAATAGTGCTCAGTAAGGTAAAGATAATTAACGATTGTCTACAGACCGCCAATTTACTATACCCTATGGCCTATCAACGTGTTGAAGATCTAATTTTAAACATCTTCGAACTCAGACACAATGTGGTGTTAACCGATTATTTAGAAAAATGAAATATACCGATGAACTTGATAACAACGAAAAGTTCATATTGAAAAAGTATTCAATTCACCTACTCGTTAAGTTGAGTGACGCGATGTTTTTGAGGTTTGCAATTCCTTCAAAAAATGACCAAAGAAGACCTTTTCGATGCTGGATTGTTGAAGGAAAACCAGGTCAAAGGAACGAATATGGCAAATTTCGGGAAATTACAAAGAAAACTCAAAGGAAAAGAATTGGTAATAAACATCAAAATTTACAACAACTTTGATGCAAAATCATTCGAGGAAAGTGATGACCAAGAACTAAAAGCGGAATTTACAAAGTTTCAAGATTGGTATTGTGCCAACATTGAAAAAGTCGAAGAAGTTACAAACAGGTTGGAAAGGGAAGAAAGGGCTGATGCTAATGAGACGATACGTACTCTCGTTAAACAAGTGAGATTAACAAGTACGGATCAAACAGAAGCAACAGATATCGCTGAAGATTACAGCAGTAGTGAAATTGTTAAAGAAAAGAGAGCAACCGCCATTCAACACAGAAAACACATAAAGGCTTTATTCAAAAAAGAAGCAGAAGATTTCTTAAAAAGTTGCCCAGTCAAAAAATTGACTTTGAACAGTGTGTTTGCTTTGATGAGTCAAGAAAAAAAGAATCAATTCCCATGTTTATTTAATCTTGTGAAAAAGATGAATGCTAAGATTCCACTTGTCCAGTTGAAAGATCTTTTAATAAAATTGGACAATTTGATAGAGCAAACACGAGTTATGAAAAAAGTTGCTTACATGGATGTCGGGGATGCTCTGAAAAACTAATTACCAATTTTTAATTCGATTTATTTTAATGAATATTTTTATATATAAGTAGTATATATATTGTGCCGATTTCGGACACTCGCTTCTCTCGCATCCTCAATCTCCACAATATGTTAAAATCGTTGTAAATATAAGTAGTATGTAAATTTACTTTATTAAAGTACTCCGGGTTCGCGTTTTCAACGCTCTCATCCTCCGTACTTTTTTTCTACCTTATATATATTAATAAATAAAACTCCCGCTTGAAAAAAAGAACAGGGTAACTATTAAAAAATAGTACGGCACTTTTATCTACTTATTACCAAGCCATAATTTATTTTTATCTACTTATTACCAAGTCATAATTTATTTTTTAGTAGTATATAAATTATGTAGATTTAGGGTGGAAGCATTTTTATCTATATTTCT